AGAATGGCGAGTGTTGATGTGCCGTGGGCTTGTTTACCAATGTCATAAAACAATATGTGTACTAATGTTTAATGAGAAATTATTTGTTCTGTAAACCTTCACCTAAAGTACAATAAAAAAAAAAAATTAAATAAATAAATAAATAAAAGGAAATGCGTTTGGCGCTGCAAACGACAGAAGCGTAAAAGAATTTTGGGAAACTATCTGCCCACAATTTATGAATAGCTGATATTGTACTTTCTGAAAAGGATATAAAGTAGTAACGAATTGTTGAGTGTATTTTGCTGTGAATACAAAACTCTTTGAAAGGATACAAAGTTACTCCTTAATTTAATAAAAAATGTTATTTACCAGTGAAAGCCTTATAAGTCTAACATCAAACAAAGACGACTGAAAGAAATAAGCAATACTAATATTCAAGCATTAGATGCTGCTAACAGTACAGAAGTGTCACTGATACCTTTGTGCACGTTTCAGTATCCGGGTTGCACTGTAAGATATCTCTCACCATTGTTGCATTTCCTTTCTCAACAGCCCAATACAAAGCAGTTTTATTGTCCTGTAAAATAAAAAACGTATTGTTACAGATTGAATTGGAACCCCCTAAAATATGTGTTGTAAATCCTAACCCCTACACCTGTGGTTATAATCCCATTTGCGAATGGGTTTTCTTTGTCATATTAATGAGATAGCATTAGTCTCACTAACCTTTTTTGAGATATAAAAACGAACAGATTAAGCAAGGAAGAAAAGAAGTAGAGACGGGGGAAGACAGATGCCATGCCACCTGAAGATCACCAGGGAGCCAAGGAACAGAAGCAGAAGAGACAAGGACCTTCCTCCAGAGCCGACAGAGAAAGAAAGCCCTCCCCTAGAGCCAGCACCCTGAATTCAGACTTCTAGCCTCCTAAACTGTGTGAAAATAAATTTCTGTTTGTTAAAACCACCCAGTTGTGGTATTTCTGTTACAGCAACGCTAAATAACAAATAGACATATCAACAAACACTTCATATAAGACACGATATTAAAAACTACTATGTGTAAATGTAAAATATCATTATTAACATTTCTGCCAGAAAGCATTAACAAATCTTACCAACAATTAGGCAACATGGTGGGAAATAACATTAATTCTTATTCCATTGTGGATTTACTTTTGAGAAATTCTTTATGAAAGAAGCCTAGGAAAACTTAATATTACTTGACTTTAAAAAGTAGCAGCACCACATACTTAATAAAGCATGCTTTTTATAACACAATCATATTTCAGGAAAGTATGTTGGGTTGGTAATCACTTAACTCTGTAACTCTGGATAAGTCATCTAAATATTCTGACCTTCAGAATTTCATCTGTAATATAAGTATACCTGCCCAATTTTTTCAAAGGATAATGCATGAGAATGTATTACACAACCATACAGCATTATTATTTTCATCAATTTTAGCATTTTTAAACTCTCATCCTCCCCACACCCGTATACTTGATCTTGATCAGATCCTTGAAAACCCTATCTAGCTCAAAAACCAAGAATAGATCCACATGACCTTGAAAGCAGAGCTGGAGAACAAAACAAACTGATTAAAACATACGAAAACAGGGTTGACACACACAAAGGAGTTAGCTAAAAGTCTGCAGTCTAGAAAGCAACTTTTAGTGAAAACATGATTTTTACCCAAAAGACAGGGAAGGACTTTCTGATGGTGCCACATTAAGTTTACTGTATCAAAATTTCTCCCTTGGAATTCCTCTTCTCAAAAATGTAAACTAGCTTCCAAACTGCTTAGCCTGGCACTCAAACCCCTCTGTGACCCTACTTCCCTTTCCATTTCCGTCTCTATTGCCCATCTCCACCCTCCCCTACCACTCCAACGCCAACCTAATTTATTCACCAGCTACAGAGTATACAGCCTTTCACAGTCTCATTTTCTAGAATTATCTCATCCTATTATTCCACGATCCTTGCCTGAAACACCCAGCCTTCCTCTTGTCTACCTATCTAAATCCAACCTATTTTTCAAACTTAGCTCAAATCCTTTCTCTAAAAAGCTTTCTTTAATGTGCTTTTTCCCACCTCAAGACTCTTACACGTAAGCCTTTCACTACCCAATCAATTGTATACCATCTTGTGGTATCACTTTTTTCTTTTTTTATATAAAAACATAAAAATGAACATAAACTAATCAAACAAAACCTTCCAAACTAAAATACATACTTCTTGAAGGCAACGGTCCTATGTTATTTTCCCCATAGCATTTTGCAAACATCTATTGGTTTGATTCAAAAAATGCATTTAGACACAAGAGAATTTTAGCTAAATACAAGGGAAAAAAATTAGCAGAAATATAGACTGTCCAACAAAAAAATGGGCTATCCAGTACAGGTTTTTTTTTTTTTTTTTAAATCTAAAGCTCTTGGATAAATTCACAACTTTGGGAAGGATTTTTCCTAAAATTAATGTGGTTTACTTCTACCTAAATCTAATTTGACATTAGTAGAGAAAATCCATAACAATAGCAATGACACTTAATGATAATATAGGCATCTGTCTTAGGCTGGGTTATCTAGAGAAGCAAAACCAGTAAAGCATATAAATATATACATAGACAGAGACTTGTATCAAGGAAACAGCTCACGCAGTTGTAGAGGCTGCAACATCCCAAGTCTGTGGATCAGGATAGAGGCTTATCCTGACTCATGAAGCCGCACAGGCTGGCGAACGCAAGATCAGCAGGTCAGAGAGCAGGGCTCTTGCTCACAGGCTTTGAAAGTTGATGAATCCCAAAATCGGCAAGCAAGACCACAAGGCTTCTCCTGATTCACGGAGCTGCAGGGGCTGGCAGACCCAAGATCAGCAGGCCTGAGAGTAGGAATCTTGCTCGCAGGCTGTGAAGATCGACGAATCCCAAGATCAGCCAGTAAGCTGCTAGCTCAAGTCCCAAGAACTGGAGGTCAGACGAACAAGAGGTAGCTGCAGCACCCAGAACAAGCCAAAAATGTTGGCAAGGTGAGCAGGAAGGAAGTAGGCAGCGGAGGGTGGAGAGATGAAAGCTAACAGTGTGGTGAGCCGCCACAGGCCCCACCCCCGCCAGTACCATTCAGCAGATTTGATCATGGGGGTGATCGCATAACAACTTTCAACAGGGAAGTGATCACAACATTATACAACTGCCAAAACACTGAGAATCATGCCCCAGTGAAGCTGACACACAATCTTAACCATCATAGTCCACCCCTCGTCAACTTGGCACCTGTACACGCCTCCCCAAACCATACATAATCTCTGAATAAAGACAATGACAAAGTCATACTTGTGCCTAACATGATACAACTAATACACGTACAACTGAAAACACACTAGCCCCGTTTACATCTTATATTTTATAAGTGAATAAACAAAAATATTTGATGCACACATACAAAGCAGAAATACTCATAACAATTACAGTCCTCATTTCTGCAACTGATCACGTGGCTATAACTGGTATTTAGAACTACCTTCTCCCACCACCCATTCCGTATTCCTTTTGTCCTCAGCAAGCACCTCAGCTGGTCATGGTTGTTTGCCTGGTTGGGTGATCCAAACCTTTATTCCTGAAGGGTCTGGGCCATTAGTAGTCATGTCAAAATTGGGATGCTATAGTTTTTCATTGACTTTAATCACAGGGCATGGTAGCACTAAGAGATGCCCTAAGGGATCTTGTGCACTCCAGACATACTCTTCTTTACCTCCGTTATGTAGTATCAATCGGATTTCCTCTTGGTAATCAGGAGTGGGGTACTGCTCTAACAGATACCTAAATGTGGAAGCGGTTTTGAAACTGTGAATGAATAGAGAACAGGCAGCAGCAGCACCAGGAGGCCAGCGCCAGACAGCACTGGAGCCAACCCATGGAGCGAGAGAGCTAAGTGCCTCTGTGCAAGAGGCTTCCTGGACGAGTGGGGTGCTTCTGGGCACTTATCGGTGGAGCTAGGCTTGTCAACTCATGGAGCAAGAGAGCTGAGTGCCATCCAGGTGAAGTTTACTGTCTGAGTGGGGTGCCTCCAGGCACTTATCTGTGGAGCTACAGAGCTTTGGAACACTGGCCCCAGGAGGGCAGACGCAGGCGTGAGGAACAAGGAAGCAGAAGCTAAAGAGACAAGGAACACAAGCAGCCGAGCTGCCTCAGTCTCAAAAGGTATGGCCTCCACCTCTGGGGTTTCAAAGGGTGTAACCATGGCCTCTGGTGTTTCTAAGAGTGGAGTCGCCACTCAGATGGACTAGGAGAATGGTGCGCCTAAAGCTGAGGGAATGGAGTTGCTGTTCCAGTGGGCCTGAAAGGTGAAGCTGAAGTGCAGGGCTGAGGGGCCTCCACTCAGAATCCAGAGAGTGTAGCCAATACCTAGAGTCTGCACAGAGGGCTATTTTGTGAATGGTGTCAGAGAATAGAGGATTATTTTCAAAGCCTTGAGGGCTTATGTACTGTGTTCTGCTAACTTGCTTGGTGTCCGTTATCCCTTCTTTCCCTGCAATTTCTTCCATTTGTAATGGAAATGTCTAGCTTGTGCCTGTTCGACCATTGTACTTTGGAAGCAGATAACTTGTATTCTAGATTTCACAGATGAAGAGGAAATTTTGGATTTTGGACTGGGGAATTGATTTAATACTTCTGCTATGATATGATGGGGTGAATGTGTCTTACATGTAGCAAGGACATGAATTTTTGGGGGCCAATAGGTAGAGTGTCATGGATTAAACTGTGTCCCCAAAATTATGTGTCAACTTCGAGGGACAGAGTAGCAGGGGTAGGGATCTGGGGACCACGGTTTCAGGGGACATCTAGGTCAACTGGCTTAACAAAGTTTAAGAAAATGTTCTGCATCCCACCTTAATGAGTGGCATCAGGGGTCTTAAAAGCTAGCGAGCAGCCATCTAAGATGCATCAACTGGTCCCAACCCACCTGGAGCAAAGGAGAATGAAGAACACCAAAGACACAAGGAAAGTGTTAGCCCAAGAGACAGAACAGGCCACATAAACCAGAGACTTCATCAGCCTGAGACCAGAAGAACTAGATGGTGCTCAGCTACCACCAATGAACGTCCTGACAGGGAACACAACAGAGTGTCCCTGATGGAGCAGGAGAAAAGTAGGGTGCACAGAAGTCAAATTCTAGTAAAAAGATCAGACTTAATGGTTTGACTGAGACTGGAGGGACCTGGAAGATATGGCCCCCACCTCTCTGTTAGCCCAAAACTAAAACTATTCTTGAGGCCAACTCTTCAGACAAAGATTAGACTGGATTATGGGACATAAAATGATACTTGTGAAGAGCGTGCTTCTTAGCTCAAGTAGATACGTAAGACTAAATGGGCAGCTCCTGTCCGGAGAAGAGATGAGAAAGCAGAGAGGGTCAGGAGCTGGTTGAATGGACAGAGGAAATCCAGGGTGGAAAGGAGGAGTGTGCTGTCACAGTACAGCGAGAGCAACTAGGGTTACATAACAATGTATGTATAAATTTTTGCATGAGAGACTAACTTGAATTGTAAGCTTTCACTTAAAGCATAATAAAAAAAAAAATGTGTCAACTTGGTTAGGCCATGATTTCCAGTACTGTGTGGTTGTTCTCCATTTGGTGATTATAATTTTATGTTAAACAGGATTAGGGTGGGATTGTAGCACCCTTACTAAGGTCACATCCCTGATCGAATGTAAATGGAGTTTCCCTGGAGAGTGGCCTGCACTACCTTTTATCTTATAAGAGATAAAAAGAAAGGGAAGCAAGCAGAGAGTGGGGACCGCATACCACCAAGAAAGAAGCACCAGGAGCAAAGCATGTCCTTTGGACCTGGGGTTCCTGCATGGAGAAGCTCCTAGTTCAGGGGAAGACTGATGAGAAGGACGTTCCTCCAGAGTTAACAGAGAGAGAAAGGCTTCCCCTAGAGCTGACACCCTGAATTTGGACTTCTACTACTAGACCATGAGAAAATAAATTTCTTTGTTAAAGCCATCCACTTGTCATATTTCTGTTACAGCAGCACTAGACGACTAAGACAGCATCGATTAAATAAGGGCTTAAAAGTTTATCTCCATAGTAAAGTTTGAAGAACAACATATGCGTTGTCAACATTCACAACCAATTATACTCAAAGATAACACAGCACTGTAATCACACATACCTGTCCTCTAATGTCTATATCAGCATACTTCTGTAGAAGTGCTCGAACAATTTCAACATGACCACCTCTGACGGCACCAATCAACACAGTATCTCCACTCTAAAGTAACCAAAACACAAAAACAAGGTGAACTGATGATGAGAAAGAATAAACACTGTTTTGAAGTTAAGGTTAATCATTAATTTTTTTATGAAAATCACTTGAAAAAAGTCACTATCTCAAAATACGAGAAAAAATTAACTGATGTTAATATCTGATATTAATAATCCTCAGAGTAAGGGACAGAAGATATTATGCCTCAAAGTGAGAAGGACTCTGAAACTCCATGACAAGAGTTTAGAATGATTAAGTCACCCAGGATAAGCATTCTCTTTGAATGCAACCTCCCATTACAAATGTAAATTAAATAAATCAATACTGTAGCTGTCAATAAACAAGATGAACATTTGGAAATTACGTAATAAAAATCTCTTGGAATAATGCTATACAATGAAAGCCATGAATTCTTAAAAAGGGAGTTGTAAAAGCTAGAGTTGGGGGCAGTGGTGGGTCAGTGGTAAAATTCTCGCCTTCCATGTAGGAGACCAGGGTTCGATTCCCAGCCAATGCACCTCTTGCCCATCCACCACCAATCTGTCAGAGGAGGCCTGCGTGCTGCTACAATGCTGAACAGGTTTCAGCGAAACTTCCAGACTAAGATGAACTAGGAAGAACGGCCTGGGGATCTACTTGGGAAAATCAGTCAGTGAAAACCCTAAGGATCACAAGGGTCTGATCCACAACTGATCACAGGAATGGTGCAGGACAGGGCAGCATTTTATTCTGTTGTGCACCGGTTCACCATGAGTTGGGGACAGACTCAATGGCAGTTAGCGGGTCTACAACCACATTTAAGGGAAAAGGTTGGTTCCTAGACCAACTTAGCAGTCACAGGCCAGTATGCGTAAGACCGATTCATTCCCTGATACAAGGCTAAAATAAAGTTCATTCTCTCATGAAGACATCTCTTTTCCCTGAAATTATAGTCACCAAACAATAATATTCCCACTACTTTAAATTCTGGAAATGGCTATTTTGGCAAAGGGCACAAATATTTTATCATTTACTGCTAAACTGCCAATCAGTTGTTATCTTAAAAGTTAAAACATTATCTTAAAACAACTATGTGTCATGTATGAACAATCTTAAAAGGTGGTAAGAAGTTAATTTTCCATTAACTTCAACATTAGAAGACAAATTTCAAATAGGTAACCTACCCTATCAGGTATGTTCACATATGTTCCAGCATCGAGTAGATCCTGCACAATCTCCGTATGTCCCTCCTTTGATGCAATCATCAAAGCTGTATTTCCATCCTTATCTGTTAAATTTACATTTGGATTCCTCTTCAAAATTTCTTTTACTGATTGTGTGTAGCCTCCTTTTACTGCTACAATAAGTGCAGTCATTGAATTCTACAAAAAAAAAAAAAAGAGCCCCCCAAGAAATTAGTTTACTCTGAAAAACGTGATTTATGCCATAATCATAAAACTGGTGTTTTCAAATAGGTGATCTATGATCAAATACAATGCCAATAAAAAAAAACAGACACATATCAAAAATGGCGAGGAGGCATTTTGTCATTTCTTGAGATAGGTTAATTCTCTTGAGCCAGTAGAGTTGTTATGGCTTTCAATTCTTTAAATGATAATCTGAAACTGGACTCATTTGCAATAAGCAAACCCTTTCACTATTGTAACGAAGTATAAAATAGTTGACAGAATGACTCAAAATTAAACAACACATTCTAAATAAAACAATCTAAAATAAGGAGACTCTGCCTTCAAACTAAGAATTTTTTTTATAATAAAACCTACAGGACGAACTGAAATAGAACAATGAATAAATAGCTATATTCTTGTCTTTCAGTGATCTACAAACCACATTTTTCAAAACTGTCTTATTTTAATTGATTGTTTTAAAAAATACCTATCTTGAGATTTTGATCTATTCTGAGATGTCATACAATTTGCATATGGAAATATTGGTTTTTTAATCAGCCTCCAAAATGAATCTATAATCCACATAGTAACAGTTTTTTCAAGTTCTTTAACAGTCAATAAATCATACAGACAAGTCACTAATTCATTTTATAAACAGCTCCTTCTGACATACATGGGGGTCACCATGAGTAGCAGTCGACTTGAAGGAAACTTTTTTTATACTTAATTATGTAAATAATACTCTGTATAATTTTAACTGTTTCCTGTGCATAAATCTTGTCCCTTTAAGTATATCATTATAAGCCCAAGGGAAAAGCAATTTGTTAGGCTTCTCTAGTCTCCCAAGCACAACTGGCACAGAGCTGGATACATAGCAAGTATTCAGTAAAGAACTAATAACCTAATCAGTAGGATATATTTAACCAATTTTTAAGCTTTCTAGGTTTTGACCACTGATTTCTGACTTTTATCTGTTTATTAAGAGGGAAAACAAGCCACAACTAAAAATATTTTTTAAATTACAATACCATTTGAAAGAAAAAGTATTTTAATAAAGTGTAACTTTTTTATACAACTAAAAAAGTATTTCAAACAATTTAATTGAGAAGTATTCAATTTAAGATAACAGAAAGTTATTCTTTATACAATTAGTCTTACACTCCTGAAATTCATGTGCATTAACAATAGATTCTTAAAAGCATATATTTATAATACAAAATATTTATAGTAAGATATACTGAACAGGATAATAGACAATGCTTGATTTTCTAAGCATCATTTAAGAACTGGAGGGAAATTTTTATGGCATAAACTAAGGAAAAATATTTCTCTCTCTTAAAACCAAAATCATATCTCTATCACCAGGGGTTAAAATATAAAAGATACTTACAGCTCCTTCCTGATCAACATCAGCTCCCATGGCCAATAAATGTTTTACACATTCCAAGTGACCCTTTCGTGCAGCCCAAACCAAAGGGGTGGTTCCATACTATTAAAACGAACAATAAATTTAAAATTATTACCAAAGAAGTACTAAAAGAAACAAAGTTTCAACATGATTTTTAATAAAAATCACTTTGAGAATTCTTAGATAATTTACACCATTTATAATCTTGATCCCAGATAAATCCTATTTCCCCATTTTCTTTCTTGTGAATAACCACTGCATGCTATGTCTTTTAATCAACTTTATTTAGCTTTTATACTATTTTTCCATCATAAAGTCATACAGCTCCTAATTTTCAACAAGTGTTCAGTACTGCCCATATCCTATAAAACAGAATGAAAACACAACAAGTCTAAATAAACATAAATACTAACAACCAAGTGCCAAACACAGCTCTAAGCACTTTAAATGGGTTAGTTAACTCATTTAATCCTTATCACAACTATCATCACATACTCACTGATGAGGAAACTGAGATCCTGAGAGGTTAATTAACAGGCTCAAAATCATAACACTACTATAGGTAGACTGAGACCCATGAACCCGGCAAGGTTGGCTTCAGAGTCTGTGCTCTTAACAACCACACTAGATCAGGCTCTATACCTGACAGCATACACTTCAGCCTAGAAACCGTACTCCAAAGCACCTTTCACTAAACATGAGCACAAAAGGTATCAGAGAATATAAATCATGCGTAAAAGTAACAAACACTGTTAAGGACTCTGGCAATCAATAAATGTATGAATACCCAGAGTGACCTTTAACTACGTGGGAGACGTCAAATTGAAATAAACATTTATGTATCGCCTACTTGCTACAAGATCCCATCCAATAGAACTTTCTGAGTTGATGGAAATGCTCTATTTCTGCACTGTCCAACAGAGTAGCCACTAGTCACATATGGGTACTGAATGCTTGAAATTTTGGTGAGTGTGACTAAGGAACTGAAATTCCTAAGTAACAGTTGTTCTCCTATATTTAGTTAAATTGTTATTCATTTGAAAAGAAGATGATTACCTACAATGTGCCAAGTTCTACGGCAGTTAATGGAAATAACAGAAGTACAAAAATGGAAGAAAAAAAAAGGGAGGGCATTCGTTACCTTCATGAAACTTATACTCTAGTGTGAGAGAGGCATGTAAAGCACTCATATAACACAATCTGCTATGTGCGCTACTGGAGGTGCATACAGAGAGTACTGATAGTAGAGAAGTGGCACCTAAGTTAACTCCAAGTTCAGGAGACTTAACAAAGGAGGTAACACCTCAACCGAGTCTTGAAAAACAAACAGAAATTCACCAGGCCGAGAAGGTAATAAGAATATTCCTAGCAGAGGGAATAAAATAAACAAAGGCACATCCACAGAAATTCCTAACAGTTCATAGCTATTAGGCAATCTGTTACACCTAAAAGCATCTTATGTATGGAGAGGAAAGGCAAGGAATGAGCCTGGGAAGACAGGCTGGAGCCAAACTGAGAAGTCTGGGCTTTATCCTGGAATAGTGGAAACCATCAAAGCTCTCCAAAGGCAGGAAACAATGATGTGAATAGACAAGTACTTATTAAATGTGTGAGGTGAGGACTGAGGACACAAAAAAGAACAGAACAAAATACTGAGGGGCTTTCTAGAGGTGATCCCAAACCAGGTGAGTCTAAAGGATGAATTAAAGTCATGGCAAAAAGGAGCAGAAGGACATTCCACACATGCAAAGGCATGGAAGGGTTAAGAACAGAGAAATTCAGGAACCTACAAGTCATTTGGTGGGCTACATGCAAGGTAACTTAGGGTACAGGCAGCAGGAGAAAAGGGTAGAAAGGTAGACAAGGTCTATTTTCATACATCATATCAGAGAAATACGATTTAGGATTTTAAGCACGAGAGAGATAATCAAACTTGGATTTCAGAAAGGTCATTCTAGCAATAATACAGAGAAAGCAGACAGGAATTAAGGTAAGAAGACCAGTTACAATAGAAAAAAAATAAGGATTTGATGATGATGGGGAGTCCTTGATCCATATTTTCTTGACAATTATGAAATAAAAAAACATTCGAAGGACATTAATACATAATATGTATAAGGGCACCATCTATTAGACGTGTATCTATATAAAATACATTAATGTACTAAATATAAGATACATTAGGGCAGTTTCATAAGATCATATGAAAATGCTTATAAATTTAGACACACTGAGTGGAGATAATACGGATTGTAATCTGTGTTATCAGACCTACCTTATCAGAGCAGTTGACTTTAGCACCATTTTGCAATAAAAGATGCACTATATCTGCATGGCCTCTCCCTGCTGCCCAAATGATTGGGTAAACACTGTACTGCTGGGAAGGATAGGTAAGTAGGGAGGTAGATGGGTAGGGAGAAAGGGAGGCAGGGAGGACGAAAGAGAGAGGGAGAGAAGCAAGGGAAGAAAGGAAGAAAAAAAGAGAAAGGAAGTCTTTTAGGCTGATATTTGCAGATGCATTTGCTAAGTAAAGTAAATGTCAAAGGGATTAACACATAGTAAAAAAAAAAAAACCAAGTTACAGACCATTTTCCACTTTAATTTCATTACCATTGGCATAAACGGTTTGCCAGTCACTTTTTATGCCTCTGGACCTCACTGGCAAGGCGTTATTCCAGCTATAATACATTTAGCGTCAAGGCGGGTCCCTTTTGAAATACACGAAGCGCAGCAGACCAGAGTTGGAGCCTCACCATTGTGCAGGCTGAGCATTCTGTTAGGTGATGCTTCCTGGATGTTTTAGTTTTATAAACTTTTGCCCTTTTTTCCCCTTTATTTCCTTTATTTCTGTAAGATAAGGCTTGCAAGTATAATTATGGCTTTCGTGTATGATAGTTAGGGAGCCCTGGTGGGTCTGTTTTGGAATGGCACCCACGATAAACTGTAATGGTAGTTCCCACTGGCACAGTGTCATGCCAGAGACCAGCGGTGCCACAGTGCCACTAGTGTCATGGGCAGATTCTACTACCAGATTGTATTTCCCAAAATATATACTACCAACCAAAAATTTAAATACACTCCGTTAGTTCAGTATTGCATTCCAATACTGAAAACACGTGCCACCAAAAAACAATTTTTAAATAAAAATTCGGTAATGAAGGGGCTAAAAACAACCAATACTCATCACACATCACTGGCAACTAAGGATGCACTCAACTTTAAATAAACGTACATTATGGACACATTTATTTTTATAGATTCAACACACTTAAATTTGATTAGCCAATAGGCAAGACTAATAAGAGGAATGTGAAATCTTTCTGATATAGTCCTTCCATTAACTTTAAAACAGTCTCTCAATATTCAGTCTGAGATAGAGTCAAGCAAAGTAATAATGCATATATTAACATTTTTCAGAATGTATAGAAAAATGGTATGTTATTTGGTAAACACCTAGACAAATGTCTCTTTTCTTCAAAGTTCAGACTAAGAATGCACTGCCAACCCAGTAACTAAAGATTTCAAAATTTCTTTTTGAGATGTTATACAATTATAGTCAACATTATAAACTCTTAAGAGCTGCCTTTATATTGATAAATTTGAGAAATAAACTTAGCTTGAGAAAGAAACTTCTCATTACTGTGTTCTAAAATCACATTCTACATTATTATCTTTAATAAAATGTAGATAACATCTATCTACTGTAAAGTCTAAAGTATAATCAGGGTTAAGTGTTCCCTAAGACAACTCAGCACTTACATTACCAATGAATTTTCTGTTAATGCTTACCAGACCAGTGACACATGGATTGGCACCATGAGAAAGAAGCAACTCTACTACGTCAGTACGGCCTTTGTAGCACGCCCACATGAGAGCTGTCCAGCCTCCCTAAAGAAAAAAAGAGGGCAGGCAAATAAAACTCTGGATCTTCTCCAAGCACAAAAATGCCACTAATGGAGTTGTTTCTGTGAATATTCTTCATAAAACCATAGTTTTATGAAGGCAATACTATGTAATTTAAATTCCCAAAATCTCCAGAGAAATATACAATAGTATATGAAATAAGTCAAATCTCTTAATTCCAAGAAGGATTACTCCGAAGTCTACACTATATACTAAAGTAAAAATAGGAAATATTCATAATGAACTCTTCTAAATTCCTAAAATCTATTTTGGTTGTTGTCTTAGTTATCTAGTGCTGCCATAACAGAAATACCACAAGTGGATGGTTTTAATGAAGAGAAGTGTATTTCCTCACAGTCAAAGTAGGCTAAAAGTCCAAATTCAGGGCATCAGCTCCAGGTGAAGGCTTTTTCTCTCTGTTGGCCGTCTTCTCTTCAGTGTTCCCCCAGACCAGGAGCTTCTTGGCGCAGGAACCCTGGCCCAAAGGACGCGCTCTGCTCCCAGCACTGCTTTATCTATGGTATGAGGTCCCCCTGTCTTACTGCTCACTTCTGTCTTTTATATCTCAAGAGATTGCCTCAGGACACAATCCAGTCCTGTAGATCAGGTCCTGCCTCACTAACACAACTGCCACCCATCCTCCCTCATTAACATCATAGAGGCAGGTTTACAACATACAGGAAAATCACACAGTACCAGGAATCGTGGCCTAGCCAAATTGATACACATTCTGGGGGGAACATAATTCAAACCATGACAGTTGTATAAAATTTTTTCTCTTGAAAAATTTCTGTCTCTAGATTTCTCCTCCTTGTTTGAGTCTAGACATCATCCAGAGAGGGATTCCAGTGATGATATTCAGCTCCTGCATTAAATACATCCTTTTAATCCCAGATCATTATACTATCTCTTGCAAAAATGGGGAGGATGCTAAGGCAATGATCTCTGGATCTTCTATGAGTGGAAAAGATCATCAAGTATGAATTAACAGCATGATACTTTCTATTTTCTAAGCTACAGAAGGAATTTTCTCTTTAGCTATGACACAATTCAATAAAAGTGACCAATGCAATCAAATCATACTAAGGAATAAATGTTCTGAGTTTGCTGTTTTTTCTTTTAATCAGTACTTGGACAAATTCACATTTGGTTCTGAGAATATAAATCCCTTTATCCTTATAATCCTGTTTCATCAAGTCTAAAAAAGGGATAAAAATATATATATACTTGACCTAATCTGGAAAAGGCAAAATGACACAGAGAGGAACAGATCAGTGGTGGCCAGGGCTTGGAGACGGGGTAGAGGGCTTGATTACAAAGCTGCAGCATGAGGGAACTACTGAAGTGCTGGAACTGTCCCGTACGGAACTGCCACGGTGGACATAAAACTATGCATGTGTCAAAACCCATAGAACTAGACATCACACAAGGTGAATTTAACTGTAAATTTTTAAAAATCAATCAGGCTATGGAGAAGATGGAATACAAACTGGGGCAAACGAATCTGACTCTACTACAACTGAATCGCATAACCACACAATTACTTAGAAGTTGACCTAAGTAACTTCGGAAAGCAGTACTTTTACTGGATACTGTAATGCTAAAGACAAAAAGAACTGCACACAAATACTTTTAACAAATAGGATGCAAACAGTTTTCTACATCTTCCTATAAAAATGAGTATATGACTTACTTTGCTAAGTATTGAGAATAAATATAACATTATGGAGGTAAAACTACTGTGTAAATTTTAAAATACAAGATGGTGGAATGCTGCAGTGTGTTTTAAAAGTCATACAACCTGCACTTTACAAAACAGGCCATCAGTAAGTAATTATGTTTCATACACCAAGGCAGATAATTTCTTCCCTTTCTTCTACTGTTAAAATTAACTTTTTAAAAGGTTGGACATTTGACAGAATAAATTCACCAGAAATGATCCCTTTTTTCACCTCTACGCTTTAAGCAGATACCAAGTTCAAAAAAGAGCTAAGTGATAATTAAGAATCGTATCTTGTTAAACCTATAATGTGTATAAATAGCATGTCTGAGCAGAATTACATTCTAAAAATGAATTTATAATTATCACCCTGAAAATTATAACTTTAAACAGCTAAGTAGTTTTTAAAACTACACTATGTCCCTCGTAAAGTCCTATCTAAAGGAAAGAATTTTTTTCAAAAGTTCTAAAACACTGATACATATTTAAAAGAGTAATGAGTTCTTTTTAACAATATTTCAGAACTGTAAATGCTAAAATAAACTTAAAATGATGATCAAAAATATTCTAAAAGAGATACACTGTATCACCTGAGTTTTAAAGCATTCTTGAGAGTCAGTTCAACGCCCAGTCGCAAATCCTAAAGACACTATTACAGTACCACTTCACACATGAAAATACACAATTTCACACACATCTCTTACTGTTAACAAGATTTCAGCTAATTATTAAGCTATCATAAGGAATGCACATACCATATCTCGGTGCTCCAAATTAACCCCACATTTAAGTAGTTCTTCCACAATATGGACATGCCCTTCTTTTGATGCTGATATAAGTGCTGTCCAGTTATCCTGGAACACACATACAAGAATGTTACCATTTCAAAGCCAAAAAATGACACTCCAAAGTGAGGAAAAATAAATTTGAATCTACATACCAAATGATCATACCAAGTTGACATGATTTGACCCACACTCAACTAAAAGAACAGTAACACACAAACTCTCTTCAGAATTTATCTGTGGACTTGTATTACTACTAATGGTGCAGAATGGTTTCACAACTGCTTCTTCAGTCTTTTACTGGACGTCTAACCACATACTGTGCTTTTTAAAAGGGAGAAAAGATGACTATCAAAATCTTAAAAAGCTAATCCTTGTGGCTAGCAACCATTACAATAAGCTGAAATTAAAGAGCCTGGAATCAGATTTAAGAGCACATTCACAGCTTGTTAAACTAGACTGACCCCATACAATGAGTTTAGAAACTGTGCGATAAAGAACAGGAGGGTTCTCCTTTATTTTTTAAATAAAGAATACAGGTATCCTACCCTGACTTTTACTCATGCGTGTAACTTAATTCAAATGATCATTCAACTAAAAAAAGATCTGACTGTGTGACTTTCTAAAAAATTCCTGGAAAACAAGGAAAATGAGAGGAAATGTAAGCCCCTCAGAACAGTGGTTTATCACTCAGAAGGGACCACATCTTTCTGGATATTATCATATATAATGATATTTATAATAAGTTACATTATGGGAAGTTACTTAACAACATGACACAGATAGAGGTAGATAAACAGAGAGAGAAATTTTCTAGACAGGCATTTAATTTTATGTACCTGTGTTCCTTATTCAGCCAATGCCATTCATATATAAAAAACATGAAGAGTTGAAGCCCTGCAGTAAAAGTAAAAATTTCTCTCCTACATTAACCCTTTAAAAAAACTGACTTAGTACACTAGACAAAGTTGAGCTATATTACTTTGTGATCTATTACTTCTGAATCACTTCTTAGAAACAAAGAAATAGCAAAGTCGAGAAAAAGACAAATAAGTAAATTATTTTAATACACACCAAATCTTCCAGATTGCAATTGGCTCCATTCTTAATTAATTCTTTCACTATTTCCAGATTGCCTTGCTCAGCAGCTATCATCAACGGAGTCTGGCCACACTAGAGAACATGAGAGGCATGGGTGACTTGTCAAGATGCTGTACCTTTCCTGAAACACCACAGTTAAATACAGCACAGCCACATTTTCATGAAGGAATGTTAAGCACTAGTTGTGTTTACTATACTTACTTAATGTAGAAACAGTTTTGAAACCTTAAGTTTTCATACTAATAATTTAAAAGCCAAAAAGAAAATGAAATATAATTTTTCTTACCACAGCATTCGTAATCTGTTGGTGGCAAATGCAATTTTCACTCAAAATAAGTAAACATATAATATTAGGATCTGTAAAGTAATCACGGCAACACATTTAAGAATCTCAAGATACCTATAGTAATGGTAATCAAATTCTATAACAATATAGGTAGAATACAATAGAGAATGTGGTTTTTAACTGTTCGTATAAAATTTTTATCTAAGACAGAACTAGAGAAAGAAAACAACAATAACAACACAGGTGCTACATATAATACACACATAGTCTTTAAGCCTTCCCTCATATTAAACCTAAGACCCTGTTAGTTAAATCAGAGTTTCCCAGCCTGTGTGCCAAGAATGAGTGGCAGGAGTTCAGAGACAGTGACCCTCAGCCCTGGACACAGTAGGGCAGGTCCCCTCCAGCTGCAAGGCTCCTGCATGTATCCCAGAGTGCAGCACAAACATTCTCATTTTCTGTATGGGCCATGACATGAAACAGGTTAGGAAGCACCGGGTCAAACAGTGATGATACTAAAGGTCCTAAAACATACTCAGGTATATAAGATAAACTTTACCCCCAAAATTAAGTTCAGTTAGACAAATGTTTATTTAAGCACCTATTTGTTGTCTGTATATAAGTGTGGGGGTAACTATCCATGATTTTTTAAAATGCCAATTTGACCACATCATTCCTCTGCTTAAAACTCTTCAAAGGTTTCCCGGGCTCTTTTGGCTAAGAACCAAAATCTTTACCATGACCTACAAAAGCCCTGAATGGTGAACGGTGGAGAGGTCATGGCGTCTACTTGTCAACCTTGTCTGGTGGCATTCCTTCTCCACTAAGGCACCCTCATGCTCTTTTCCACCTCAGGGTCCTCAGACAAATGCTTCCCTCTGCCCCATCCAAATAACTACCATCCACCTGTCAGCTTTTGAATCAAACAGCCTCTCCCTCACTGAAGCCCTGCAAGTTTCCCTTACTAATCTTTGTTTATAATTACATTTTCACTTGTGTAATTAACTGATTATTGTCTGTTTCCCCTAAAGTTCTAAACTCCATGAGGGTGGAAAGCATACCCTCTTTGCTGATTTGTTTAATACTATTATCTCCAGTATGAGGGGCAGTGGGTGCCACACAGGCACTCAAATATTTGTTGAGTAAACCATTAAGCAAAGTCTCAAAGAATTAAAATATCTAATACACAAACAAGCAAATTATTGTAATTGGCAAAACATAATGATGCTTTTATAAGAATAACATAAGTAAAGTGTTAAACACAAATCTGGTTTAAATAAAGTACCAAGAATAATCACACTAAATATATACATTTGTATTTAACACTATATACTAAATTATATAGTCACATGTCATTCAGTCAGGGTCCTTAGGGAATGAGGTATTACACAGAGTATTACATGAAAACTGGTGAAAAAGTTTATCCTTCAAGCATTAAATCCGATTATAACTTTCACGACAACCATCCCTCTAAAAAGCAATGCACACATTGCTACTTTCTTAAACAAATTACCTTAGACATTATGTTTATGATCCTGAGTCACCACTATGAACATCAACTGTCACACTACGCACACCTCCCTGTCAGCTCTTCCTTCTGTTGGCCTACCTTCTACAGCATCCTTCTCCCTTCTAACCTACTGTGATAAAAAGTAAGATATCAAGGCCATTGGTCTAATATATAAATTAAAGCAAATAAATTCTGAATCCACGGTCCCAAGGATACATGCATTTTACTTCACAGCTTTCAAAACAGTAATTCCAAAGACTCAGGGGACTTTTCTATTAACTTCCTGAGGTTACAGTTGCATTTCAGATAGTTTACAGTCAGAAGTCTGACCACCAGACAGGGTGTCTAGAATATGAATGAAAAATAACGTAAATGTGGTATTGTAACTTTTCACACAAATGAGAAAGATGGCATAAACTTGATTCACTAGAAACAAGCCAAACAAAACACTTAAATAGCCATAATTTTCTCTTGCATAAACTGGTAGCTGCCTACCCAATATCCAGAGGGACATCATTTTGTTGAGGGTGGCAAAATGCCCAGCTTTAAAAAAAAAGATCCATATTTTTCAGACTCACTTGCAGCTAGATAGAATCATGTGACACTGCTCGGACCTAGGCAGAAGTCACTGGCTAGGTCTCCCAAGAAAGCTCTTTAAGGGGACCAACTCAGCTGGCCTGTACCTTTTTTCTTCTTTTTGCCTCGTACGTAGACTCAACACTAGAGGTATCCAGATGGCTGACGTGAGGTAACAGGCACACAGTGAGGGGTGGCCAAGAAGAATGAGCCTGGGTCCTTCACGATATTGTGAAGCCACTGTTACGTATTAAATAAAAATGAATGGCTGCTCTGCCAGGTGCAAACATTTCCGAGAACAATAAATCAAGATAGCCGCTTACACCAGGTACAAACCTTGACAGAACAACAGGGAGTTTTTTCAAAATGTTCTAATGCAGGAACATCGCCAGAAAAACAAACTTGACATTGAAGGGTGTTTCTGACTCAGCATTATCAGACTCCACCAACTCTCAAAGACAGTATATTATAAAACCAATGACAGAAAGACCACTGCTTTGTAAGACCCTTCCTTCAATTAAAAACATACCAAAGACTCAATCACTGTAACTTCCCTACTGGAATCCCTATCTGCCTTTAAAAACTCTGCACCTGCACTGCTTTAACGAGTCCGTTGCCACTTTTGGATTTACTGCTCCATGTTTTTGAACAGTGTATCGTGCAATAAACCCCGTTAAGTCTAATTGACTCGTTCAATCTAATTTTTCTTTCAACACTACCGCATCAGTCTTGGAATGGCTCCTCCAGCTCGTCGTGTGAGAAAAATAAAATCCTTATTTTGCCTAAGCCACTACTTCAGGAGCTGCTACCTGCAGTCAAAAGCAATTCTCACCTGATACACCTTGTGCAACTACACTATCAAACAAGGCAAATGATTTTCAGGAAAAGTTACCATGAAGTTTTATCAGATCCCCAAAGATAAAAGGGTAGTTGCCTTATAAATTGGGCCTTATAACAAAATACATCCTATCCATTCTAAGAGTTCTTGCTTAATCAATTTAGTAACTACATCTAGAGAGATACTGATAACCAAAACACCGTAAATACTCATAAAAGCAAGAAAGAAAGCGGAAAAACCCAAATGACTTTTATATTTCTATAGAAGTTAAATTTTATCAGAAGTTATAAAATGAAGATGCTGAAAAGGCCCTGAGAAAGCTACTTTATCCCAACCTTCACACTGAGCCAGAAGCGAACAATCCCAGTTTCAAATTATTATAAAACTGCAACTTAAAACTGATACAGTATTAAACTAGATATAATAATAATTAATATTCATTTAGTACCACCTCATGCATGATGCCAAATTAAGCCCTTTACCAAACATGCTTCATTCTTCGTAGCAATAAAATCATAATTTTATGCTTATTGACGTGATGTATTTCTCCCTCCAAGTGAAGCTATTTCCTCAATAGTCCCTAACAAAAGGTCTGTGAAATAAAACTTAATCTTTTTAAGTTTACTTAAAAAAAGAATCATTTTTGTATTCCAACTATGCTAATATCAAAAACTAAACCTGTTGCCATCAAGTTGATTCTGACTCATAGCGACCCTGTAGGACAGAGTAGAACTGCCCCACAGGATTTCCAAGGAACAGCTGGTGGATTTGAACTGCTGACCTTTTGGTCAGCAGCCAAGTTCTTAACCACTGTGCCACCACGGCTCCAAATATGCTAATAGATACTAATAAAGTAACTACTTCTGTGAGAAATTCTTTTACAACAATGAACGAATCTCCAATTACAAATTTTATTCCTTAACTATTTATAACAATTCTTAATTATTCATAATGATAGAAGGGTACAATGATGTTAATTAACCAAAATATATTTTGTTCAATTCTAAAACCATTGCAAGTATAGGCATTATCATTAGATGAACTTTATTCTGAAGACTCAAAGAAAGGCAGTAGAGTATAACAGATTATAATCTGAAGTCAAATAGAACAGGGTTCAAATTTGGACTCTATCAGATAATATCTTAGACAGGAAATTGAGGAATTACCTGGAATTCCAGATAAATAACAGTATTATTCTTTATAGAGCTGTTCTGCAAAGTAAATGAGCTAAGATATACAAAGATTTACCACAGTAGCATAATTACTATTCAAAAAAAACCATTAGCTATAGGAAGGCAAATGTGAGTAAATGCACACTCATGTGTAGGTGTATCTGTAGGCATATGTATACACGTTTGTGTGTGCTGCATATGCATATATATATATATATATATATATATATATATAAATAAAATAAAGCACATAGGGGGCACCGTTATGGAGACTTCCTAGACACAGCCAAACAACTCGTAGGACTGGTTTACTGGGTTAAAAGGCTTAGGACCATAGTCTCATGGGACATCTTAGTCAATCAACATAACAGTTCATAATGTTCTATATCCTAGTTTGGTGAGTAGTATTTGGGCTCTTAAAAGCTTGGGAGAGGCCATCTAAGATACAACTATTGGTCTCTACTCATCTGGAGCAAAAGAGAATGAAGAAAACCAAAGACTCAAAGAAGAAACTAGTCCATAGGACTAATAACCCACACAAACCAAGGCCTCTTCTAATCTGAAACCAGAAGAAGTAGATGGTGCCCAGCTACTACTACCAACTGTTCTGACCAGGGACATAACAGAAGGTCCCAGATAGAATGGGAGAAAAATGAAATGTAAAACAAAATTCAAATTCCTAAAAATGGCCAGACCTACTGGACCAATAAGAGACTAGAGGAACCCCTGAGACTCCTGCCCTAAGATACCCTTTCAACTTGGCTAAAGCTATTCTGGAGGTCACCTTTCAGCCAAGTAATAGGTTGGCTTGTAACACCCATGAGTAATGTGCTCCATTAAACAATCAACTGTATGAGAACAAATGGTCAACATCTACCCAAAAGCAAAGATGAGAAGGCAAGGAAGGGAAGGAAAGCTAGATCAGTGGAAACAGAACAAAACAGAATGGAAATAATGAGAATGCTGACACATTGTGAAAACTGTAACCAACATCATGGAACAATCTGTATAAAAACTGTCAAATGGGAACTAATTTGCTATGTAAACTTTCATGTAAAACACAATATTAAAAAAAAAAAATTACCTATGAGTCAGAACTGACTTGACAGCACACACCAACAACATTATTCAATAATAAAATTTTTATATCAAGACTACTTTAACGACAGAGTTAACATTTAATGAAATTAGGTCCCCATGTCCAAATATAGATATATATAGATATATATAGATAGTAATAACTGTCGATTTGGCAGCTTTATAAACATTCCTAAATAAAATTCTTTACATGTCTACATACACACATACATACATATATACATATTTGAATGGCTGGATAGTATAAAAGTCACTCCTCATTTATCTTATCCACAACAAAAAGCAAAAACATTACACTATATTGAAAACACAGTTCTAAGAAACAGGATTATTTTCCTTAAGTTGTATAAAACAAACACATACTTTGCCACTTAAAACAACTCATACAAAGAGTTTATTTGTTCTTAAATTGTCACACCCAATAATTTTCAGTTTGGCTGTTCATGATGAAATAAAACATTTTATTTACCCATAGTGTTAAACAGAAATAATTAATTTAACAAAAATAGCAATTATATACTTCTCTGGCTTATTAAACAGGACACATGACCAATTTAACAGTCTCTTAAAGATACGGGCATTTAAAATCTTGAGATGTATGAAATGAACAACAAGAGAGATAGCTGAGACTCCGTTAAAGAAAATATTTCCCAAAAAATGCTAATTTTAACTGGTTAATCTACTTACAGGAAGACTGGGTCTAGATATTCTCTTAAGCTTCCTAGAAGCACTTTAAATTTTAGTAATCAGACTTCCTGAATATTGATTATTCCATGAGTAAAATAAAGTCAGTCATAAATCCAAATTCAATATCCAAGTATTTACATAAGGTAAAATGTATTTTAAAAATATTAAATATGAAATATTTTTAACTATGAGATTATTATATTGTGAAGTAAGCAATGTCCAATGCTACTGAGCATGAGAACTACATACCTCTTACCTTTACTGTTAGCACAGTGCCTTGCACACAGTAGGTAGTCAACAGTTATTTGTGAAAAGGATTCACTGTTAGAAACTTGATCTTACCTCATTTCTCTCATCTACATCTTTGCATTTTTCAAGAAGAGCTTTCAGAGCAGGAATGTTTTCTTCTTCTACATAATTTATTACACTCTGTGATATCAGAACTGACATTTTCACAGAAAGCTTTATTTCAGTCCCTGTTAAAAGATAAATACGTATAATTCGTGATTAGGGGGAAAAAACTACATTAGTACTAAATTTCTAGTCACAAATCACTAATTTGTGATTAGAAAAATAACAAAGCTACTACTAAATAATCATTCTTAAATTTGTATAGTACAGGTTTCTCCTTCTACCCAAAATAACATTCTTCCGAAACCTTTCGTAAGCCAAAATGACACAAAGCGAAGAAGCAATTACTATCCCATTTATATAGGAAAAACTTTTGAGCATTCCCAGACTGAAAAAAATAACCTACCAAATCATACCAAATAACATATAAAACCCTTACGAGCTCTCTTGGCTTTTCTGATACCTTAGGACACATCTTGCTAACAGATGCACAAAATAAATGGAGATAAAGCCTAGATGCTTAGCAACACAGTTCAAAGCTATGGTGGCTTGATGCTGAGATGCTGAGAGTAGCTCCCAGGGAAGGAGCTTGGCAACGCCACTCTCGCCGCTAGGGGTGCGCGCTGCCTCTTTAACGGCTCACTGCAAAACAATCGCTGGAAGCTATTTTTGCTTTTTGCCCTTTTCCATAAAGGCAAAAATCCTCTTAGGATTTCATTAAGTTAGCAAAAACAGGTACTAATGTAGGTCTTTCATAAAAGCAAAGTGGTGTAAAGCAAACTTTCAAAACGTGGAGGATACCTGTACACCTCCAGTGGCAGCGGTGAAAACAAGACCCATAGTTCAGCTGTTAAAATGCCCATCCCTCTCTTCCCAAGACTCAGTTACCTTAAACTTAATTCATCCCAAGTCTGAACTTCGGACCATCCCCCAAGCCCTCCTCATTCGCCCCCTACCAAATAAAAGAAAGTGTTCCACCGCCTCTCCTGCTGACTTCTCCATCTCAGGAAATGGCAGCTCCAGCTCCGTTCCCCTTTCAAAGCCTAAAATCTTGAAATTATGCAAGATTTGTCTCTTTCTCTCATACTCTAAAATCAATATATTAGCAAACGCTTTAGGCCCTAGCTATAAAGTATATTTCATAGCTGACTACTACTCACCATCTCCATCACTACCATTCTGGTCCAAACATCATCACCTCCAACCTGGGTTACTGTGATTGCTTCCTAACTGGTCTCCCTGCTTCCATCTCTGCCTTCCACACAGTTTATTCTCCACAACACAACCACAGTGATCTTCTGAAAATGTAAGTTGGATCAGAATTTCTTAAACTTTAACATATATCAAAATCACCTGGAGAGCTTGTAAAACACAGATTTCTGGGTCCTACCCTCAGAGATTCTGATTCAGTAGGTCTAAGTTGTGGCCACTGAATTTACACCTTTAACAAGTTCCCAGGTGATGCTGCTGCTGCTGGTAGAATAACATCAATTGGAATAGTACCGAGTCAGAGTACATCCTTTCTTCGCTCAAAACCCTCTAATGGCTTCTCAAAGCATTCAAAGTAAAATGAAGTATTTTTAACTTGGCCTAACCAAAAACCAAACTGGCTGCCATGGAGTTGATTCCAACTCATAGCGACCCTATGAGTCAGAGCAGAATTGCCCCATAGGGTTTCCAAGGAGCAGGTGGTGCATTTCAATGGCCAACCTTTTGGTAAGCAGCCAAGCTCTTAACCACTGTGCCACCAGGGCCTAGACGACCCTAACTGAATGGTCTCCTGTTACATCTCTGACCTTCATCTCCTACCACTCTCCCCTCATCCACTTAACTACCTGCTGTTACTTGAAGGTGCCAATCACTGTCTGACCTTGAGGCCTCTGCTCTAGCATTTCCACCTGCCTAAACTTCTCTTCCAGCAGACATGCACATGGATCGCTTCCTCACTTCCTTCAGGCCACTTTACTAGAAAAGTCCTGTCTGACCATCTGATATAAAATAGTAACAACTTCACACATACTCTATAACAGTCCCCACACTCCCATCCTCCTAGCCTTATTTTATTGATCTCCATAGCATTTACCACTATCAGAAATACAACATACTGTTTGTGTACTGTCTATCTGCCACAACTAGAAATGTAAATTACAAAAGAGCAGGAACTTCATTTTATTCATTGCTAATAGACTGAATGTGGGGTGTAAGAGATAGAAATGAGTTGTGGATAATTCCAAAGTTTTGGCCTTTGAAGAACGGAGCTGGAGCTGCAATTTGCAGAGAAGTACACCAAGGTCCACCCCTAAGTTACAAGTTTCTGACACTGTACATGAAGTGGTATATTATTTTCAAATAGACAGGGACTAAAGATGTATATTGTCAACTCTATTGTAACCACTAACAAATTTTTAAAGAGGTATAAATAATAAGCCAATAGTGGAGATTAAACGTGATCATAAAATATCCTCAGTCAAAAGTAAAAAGAAAATAGGAAGAAACAGAAAACAAGTCGAGGGTGGTTTTAATCCACCATATCAATCATTACTTTAAGTGTAAATGATCTAAACACATGATTTTAAAAAACTGAGATTGTCAGACTAGATGAAAAAGCAAGAAGCAAGTATATGCTATGTACAAAAAACATAATAATAATAATAATAAGACTAATAGGTTAAAAGCAGAAGGATAGAAAAAGATACACCACGCAAACATCAACCCAAGAAAAGTAGAGGGAATTTTGCTTCTGGGAAGATGGAGTAAACATACTTTTCTCCATATCTGCTACTAAGTACAGCTGAAAAACCCAGAGGATACACACACACACACACACACACACACACACACACACACACAAACACTCTAAAAGTTGGAGAGAAGGCGGCAGACTAGTAGGCAGACTAGCTAGGGGCCTCAGGACCCAAGGAATAATATGGTAGTAAGTTCCCTAGGTTTTCTTTTTGCCTCATATATATCAAACTGGGTACTGGAGAAGTCAGAAACCCCAAAGGGCTTAGATAAAAATAAACTCAAGAAAAGTCTACACTTTCTAGCCAAAAAACCAGGAAAGGGACATCCTAGCAAGACAGAAAACTTTTAGACCGTAACCACTCTATTTCAGCCAAACACCATACAAAAAACTGTGGCCCCAGCAAAGAGGAGTGGAACAGCCTAGACTTCTAATCTTGCAAGGCTATAACAAAACACCACACCTCTCCTCTCTAACAAGGAGGGCTTGTGAAGAGTCACGACCTTCACCATTGCTCAGCATTAACAAGGCTACTTTCCAGCCATCAGTGGAGGTCTCATGGGGAGCAATAATGAGGGATCCCTCCCCCTCCTAGCCAGAAGACTATTAGAGGCGGCCTTGTGGGGAGCCTGAACTCCCACTCCCACCCAGCAGTAACGAGAAGTCTCTCCCTCACCTAAGTGTCAACAGAGGCTGAGTGTAGAATGTGGGCTTCCACCCACACTAGGCAGTAAGGAGGCGGTGTCTCCCTTTCCCACTGGAGTAGTTTCAGGTTTAAAACACAAGATTTAATAAGATTCAGAGTGTTTGTAGCGTAATACCCAAAACGTCTAGGTTTTGACTGAAAATCACTCATCATATCAAGAATCAGAAAGATCTCACCTTGAATGAGAAAAGACAACACACACTAACACCAAGATGACATAAATATGAGAATAATCTAACAAGATACAAGAATAATCTAACAAGGATTTTAAACCAGATATATAAAATAGTTTCAATGAGCAATTGCAAATATGCCTGAAATGAATGAAAAGTAGAGTCTCACCAAAGAAACAAAATGTCTTAGCAAAGAAATAGAAGCTATAAAGAAGAACCAGAGGAAAATTTTAGAACTGAAGAATAACCAAAATTTAAAACTCAGTGGATGGAATCAACAACAGAATGGAGAGGACAAAGCAAAAAAAAAAGTGAACTTGAGGATAGAATAGAAATTACCAAATCTGAACAGAGAGAAAATAGATTAAAAGAAAAAAAAGAACAAAGCCTCAGGAACACGGAGGACTCTAGCAAGAGATCAAACATTCAGGTCATCAGTCTCAGAAAGAGAGGAGAAAGAGGATGGAGCAAAATAAATACTGAAAAAATGGCTTTAAAATTCCAAAATCTGGCAGAAAGACATAAACCTACAGATTCAAGAACCTGAGTGAACCCCAAACAGGATAAACCCAAAGACATCTGCACCAAGACATCATACGTAAACTTTTGAAAACTAAAGACAAAGAAAACTTTTGGAGGAAAACCATTTTCAATGACAGTGGATTTCTCTTCAGAAACTATGGAGAACAGAAGGAAGTGACACAATACTTTTCAAGTGGTGAAAAGAAAAGAACTGTCAATCCAGAACTCTGCATCAGCAAAAATGTCCTTCAGGAATGAAAAGAAAAGCAAGACATTCTCAAGGGAATGAAAATGAAGAGAATTTGCCAACAGCCAACTTACTCTAAAAGAACGGCTAAAGAAAATTCTCCAAGCAAAAAGGAAATGATAAAAGACGGAGTCTTAGAACATCGGTTAGGAAGAACAATGGATAGAGGAACACTGTGGGTAAATACAATAGATTTTCCCTCTCCTTTTGAGTTTTGTTAATTATGTTTGATGGCTGAAGCAAAAATTACAACACTGTCTAATGTCATTACCAATGTATGCACGGAATATATAAAGGTAATTATAAATGTGAAAGAGTAGAAGGAGGTAAAGAGAGGTAAAGTTTCTACACTTCAATCAAACTGGTAAAAGGTACACATCAGTTGATTGTGATAAGTTACGTAATATCTAGAGCAACCACTAAAAAAGCTACACAAAGACAACCCAAAAATACTACAGATAAATCAAAATTAAATTCTAAAAAAAAAGTAATCCACAGGAAGGCAGGAAAAAGAAAACAGAGAAATTAAATACAGAACAAACAGGTAACAAAAAGTAAATGGCAATTTAAGTTTTTACATATCAAAATTATATTAAATTTAAATGGTTAAAACATACCAATTAAAAGGCAGAGATTGGCAGAGTGGATTAATAAAACATAACTCAAGTATATACTAGAAAGTCACTTCAATTATGATATAGGTAGGTTGAGGGTAAGAGGGTGGAAAAAGATAT